GATTGCGGGTTCATATCCTGGTGTCAGAAAGGGGTGAACGACAGAATAAAAATGACTAAGTGAAACTAAGAAAATCTGTTGCCCGCTTTACTATTTCCTCAACTTTTAACAGAAATTATTATTTGGAAAAATTATGCTATGGCAAAAAGTTTTGGATCAGCGATATTAGAGAGTATTGAAATTATTACATTGATCTGCCTTAAGCCGATTTCATTGCTTTAGTTTATCAAATAAATCGTACTGAAATCTTTTCTTTGATCAATTTTGAGGAAAATAAATCTAATTCATTTTTTTTTTTGGTTTCTTCATGGATATATGTAAAGATATAAAATTTTGTCTGAAATATGTCGTCGTGGAAACACCAGATTTTTTTTATTTCCAACAAATGAAACTAAGAAAATCGGTTGCCCGCTTTACTATTTCCTCTACTTTTAACAGAAATTATTATTTGGCAAAATTAAGCTATAGCAAAATGTTTTTGATCAGCGATATTAGAGAGTATTTGAATTCTTACACTGATCTGCCTTAAGCCGGTTTCATTGCTTTAGTTTATCAAATAAATAGTACTGAAATCTTTTCTTTGATCAATTTTGAGGGAAATAAATCTAATTCAATTGTTTTTGGTTTCATTATGGATATATGTAAAGATATAAAATTTTGTCTGAAATATGTCGTCGTGGAAACACCAGATTTTTTTTTATTTCCAACAAATGAAACTAAGAAAATCGGTTGCCCGCTTTACTACTTCCTCTACTTTTAACATAAATTATTATTTGGCAAAATTAAGCTATAGAAAAAAGTTTTTGATCAGCGATATTAGAGATGCTATGTATTGTAAAGACCGTCGGTGGAATAATTAGTTTAAAGGTATAAACAAATAAACATTAAGGTAATTTAGGTAGTACCTAAATATAAACATATTTAGGTATAAACCCAACATCTGGCGGTTGGGTACCTGAGGGAGGGTAACCCATTAGGACAACCTTTTGTAAGTGGTAATAAAAACCCTTAAGGACCACCGACAAAGACCGACAAGTGTTTAAACAGGATCCCGAAAGACCTTTTCACACCTTCCACCAGAAATACCTAAGTCTGTACCTGTTGCTTTACCTTGGCCTGGGGGAGAGGGCGTGGTCATCCCTTAGGCTGAGAGTATTCAGCCAATCAGGAAAAAGGCTTCCAAAAGAGAGGGGGATGAAAAAAGGTGGAAAATATAGAACTTGGACGAAGACACTTCTTTTTGGAACTCGGAGGGGAGAGGACTTCTTTTTGGAACTCCGAGGAGGGAGGACTGGCTCTTGGGACTTCAAGCGGGGGAGTCGAGGGAGGAAGATGAAGACAGCCGGAGAGAGGGGATGGACGGACTAGACGCTGAAGGAGAGCAGAGACAGGGAATCCAGATATGACGGCTAGAAACACTATGGAGGACCAGCTAAGTGGTAACAAGCATTTAGTTATACTAATGTAAATTTGTGTTGGCAACCATACATCATTAATTAATATAATCAACATAACACGTAACTTTAATCAAATACAAAGCATTCTCCTCTAGTATGATTCTTAACTATTCATTATGTATATAGGTTTAGTTATTATTTTGTATATAGATGTTCTTTGGTTTTATTTAAGCTTGTAAATATAATAGTTAGTAAACCAACGTAGTACTTTTACATTCTACCTTGCATGCCACCAATTAGTAATAGAAACAAATAGTAAATTTATAAACATGATACCTTTAGAAAGGAAATCCAATAAAGAGTATATGGTTCAATCTAGGATACTACAGTAGGGGGTCTTTGGTATCTAACATTTAAATACATCATTAATATATTTTAAGTTGATCGGTTCCCTTCTGGGACCGATATAAATACATATAAATACAAATAAATGCGATTCCTGGAACCCCTTACTCGCCGTAGAAACGCGAGGCCAGGAACATAGCATTTAAAATGGCATCCCATGTGAAGGACGTATCATTAAATTTACTATTTGTTTCTAAGATTAAAATAATTGATTTTTTAGAATTTCATTCCTATGATTAATAAAGGTGGCATTGTAATGTGTTGGTACTAAGAATCGTACAAGAGGGAAACATCTTTGATTTAATTTAATTTGGTTATTCGAATGTAATGAAGTTGGTTGGTTTGAGATAATTTAATATATATAAAATGATTGTTAAATGTAATGACTGTAAAGCTTGATTGAGTGTTGTAACGTACAAAATTTAGTTAAATTCTTTCCTGCGTTGATTTAAAAACTATGCTGATTCTGCGGTTCAATAATTTGTGTCAAACCTATTTTTAATATCGAAAAATCTTCACTCTCCTATTTAATGGTCTGGTATTAAAAGTGGCTCATTTTCATTGTGGTTTATTATTAATGGGATATTTTTTAAAGGTATAGGGAATTATTTTTATGATAGCGTTTAACCCCTTCCTAAAAGGTTAAAATAGGTATTAAATTAAAAGGGATAATATACGCACATACTTTTAAAGATGGCTCTTAGGGTAGAAAAAGAAATACTACCAAAGCCTAAACGATCTGAAGCAGTAGCTGATCAGAAAACACCCAGAAAACCAGAACTGAGATCAACTGAAGAAACAGTGATTCAAATCCCGAAGAAAACCCAGCCACAGGCCAATAAGAAGATAGAGGATAATTTTAGTTTAGGAGGAAATAACATGTTTCTAATACTCCTTCAGAAAATAGAAGAAGGCAACAAAAAACTGCAAGAAAATCTAATAGACTCAATGGGTGAAAGTATTAGGAATGCGAAAAGAAGCCTAATGGAATCTATAGACAGCACATTCACTAAAGCAATAGCCGAGATAAATAAAAAGACAGGAGGAGAAGAAGAGGTCAGCCAAGAATCATTGGAAGAAAATCAAGCAAGTGACATTGAAAATGTTCAAGGTCAAGAGAATGAATGTCCTGAATCTGAACAGGAACCTAATGAAGTTAGTGAAGTGGATGAACCTATATTAGCCGAACCCTCCTTAGGCGAGAATAGAAAGATTAAAGAAGAATATATAGGCCCCCTAGCTTCAGTCGAACCCTCCAGAACAGAAGAGACTTCTCCGAAAGTAGAAGAAATTATAGGAGCCCAGGAGGAAACGTTGAAAGATTTTGTATTAGGTTTCATAAAGATCAGAGAATTATTTTTCCAGGTCGATAAGGAGACCCACGAGATCCTAGAAATTAAAGAAGAGTATATACGCCCCACAGCTTTAGTCGAACCATCCATATCAGCACGGACGTCTCCGAAAATAAAAGGGTTGAACGAAAAAAGATCATTACCATCAGAAACCGAGACAATCCTCATTTGTAGTTTAGAAGATGAGGTATATAAAGGGTATATGGCTTTGAACCATGTTAGGACAGGCCGCTTAAAATCTTATTTTAAGCCGCGGTAGTCTTTGTCCCATTCCAGAGGGCAAAAAGGGGTTTTTTAGCGTCCCTTCCGTTGACGAGCTAATGGGTCCTGGCGAAACCATCGTTAGGTCACCCATTCTGGATACTTGTAAATAAAGTGTATATAGTTAGTTGTAAATATGATTTTGTAAATAGGGTGGTAGAATTTAATAACCAATTTTGAAGGCTGAATGGAAGGAATCTCAAGCTGAATCGACCAAAGTAAATTTATAATTGAAGTATTCATACTATCTTATGAACCCCTTACTCGCCGTAGAAACGCGAGGCCAGGAACATAGCAGAGAGTATTTGAATTCTTACACTGATCTGCCTTAAGCCGGTTTCATTGCTTTAGTTTATCGAATGAATCGTACTGAAATCTTTTCTTTGATCAATTTTGAGGAAAATAAACCTAATTCAATTTTTATTGGTTTTTTCATGGATATATGCACAGATATAAAATTTTGTCTGAAATATGTCGTCGTGGAAACACCAGATTTTTTTTTATTTCCAACAAATGACTTTGTTGACTATGCAGTTCACCGCCTCAGGTTACCCGGCAATGCATTGGGATAGGGATCATCTACCTTTTAAATCTGAGAAGGCATCATACTACAGCTTTGTAAGGGTCTTACTTTGAGTCCTACTATAAGGATGCCTTAGAGAGCATATATCATCGAAATAAATACAAATCCTCCAAAAATCAAAACTTTTTCACCTTATAGAAACATTCTAGGAAAGTGTTAGAATATATCTTAAATGTATGAAAAAATCCAACCTGGCAACCCAGAAGGGTAGATATAAAATGTGAGAGTTTTCGTTCAGTTATACTTTTTTAAATATATTCTACACCTACACAGTTTACGTCATAGAAATAAACCATGGAAAAACAGACCAGATTATTTGTACAGTTTAATGGTTCAGTTAACTTTAGCAGGAAGAGTTCAGTTAGAGGTTAATTGCAAAAGCTACTTTAGTTACTCCTTTTATAAAAATAAAGCGTGGGGGGGAGGGATAGAGGAGCCATCAATAGTTAGGAGTTGGCTAACAAGAGGTGAGTTATTTTTATTGGAGTTATCCAGCCAGTGGGGGGTGATTAAACGGGACACGGTTGGGAAGGCAGGCTTGCGAGGGTTTGCGAAGGCTCGCCACTAAAAGGGAAACAGTTTTATGGTATACTTCCATACGCTTTATGTATCTCTTTATGTATACGAGATAAAGCCGTTAGCTCCCCCATCGTCCTTTTTAATACGCCTCCATAACTCTAGCTCCTGTCGCCAACCTCTCACTGCTTCTCTACCTTAACTTCGTCCATCGAGAATTTATTATAATAGTCTCCTTTCAGCGGTTTTATTTTTCCGCTTTATTTCAATATTGCAGTATTAATTTTTATAAATACTCAATAAGCCACAAGAATATTTTATTGGGTTATCCGGAAATTAATGCAGGAATTTGGTTTAAAAAGAAAAAAAAATTAACAGCTACTTTATTTAATCAATTAGCCTCCATTACTATCATTACATTTTTGCCGTGATGGCAACTTTTCCTTTCCCTCGGGATAGACTTTCCCATCTTTTGATTGGTCCTTTATGGGAGAAACGCAGAAAGCTGTTCCCACACGACATGATTATAAAAATTCTGATTGGAATTTTTACTACAGTCAAATAAAACTGCAGTTACAATCAGCGCCAAATCTTCGTACAGAGGATGGCATTGACACTTATATAGCCTCTTTATGTAACACGTTATTAGATGCAGCAAACATCGCAATACCTAAATTCGTTCCTTTTCCACCTTCTCTTCGCGTAGCACCACGCCACGTTCTACAACTTATTTCGCTGAGAAATACGCGGAAAAGAAAAATGGTACCGCACGAAGGATCAAAAGGTTAAGTTGGTTGTGAAATCCTAAACTGACCAAATACGTAATTTTATAAAAAAATTGGAAAAAAAGTAATTTAGCAAGAAAATAGGTGCTACACACTGCGATTATCGTAAGTTTTGGAATATAGAAAAGAATGGTAATTGGGAGCCTAATATCATTAAACTCCATCAGGATGACAGGCTATTAAACCCCAAAGAACAAGCTGTAATGCTAGTACAATACTACAATGAAGAAATCAAAAAGAGAACTTGATTTCGCCTCCAATTTTAGAGAAGGAAAACAATTACATGTTTGTTACTTAAACAATTAAAAATGACTCTCCGCAGGACTAAAAGAAACCGTGCACCAGATGTTGATGGAACTCAAAGTATATTACTCAAACAGTTACCCAGGATAGGTATAATGTTCCTGGTGAACCTTTACAACTCTTCGCTACTTTCCCGATTCCTGGAAACTTATGTAAGTTGTTCCCAACTTTTTAGAATATTGGCTGGTGATAAATTGTTGAAAAGAGGATTTGCCAATTTTTTGAGACTTATCGAAAAATGATTTTTTTCGTTTAGTGAGAAATTCTTTTACTATTGATAAATTCAGCGCTGCTTGTATGTCCAATGTTTTCATTCTCTGTAGCGTGAGTCTGTTTTGCTTTTGGCCTTTTCCCCTTGTTTTTCCGACATGATCGAACAGAAATGCACCATACAACAGAGCCGGGCGTATTATGCTTGAATAGATGAGAAGATTTAGTCGTAAAAATCGGTTTGTTGTTTTGGAGTCTGTATATCTTAAATCTTACTGTTTTCATTTTTTTGTCAAAATGTATAGTAAATTTTAAATGTCTGTCGAAGTGAATACCTGTTTTATTCCCACTGCTAAAACCAGTGAAAAATGGTAATAAACCAGCTCAATATCGATCGGTAAGTTTGTTACCTCACATTACCAAAACATTCGAAAAAATCATTTTGAACTACGTAAGAAGGTTTTGCACCAAAAATAATTTGATTCCACCAGACCAAAGTGGTTTTTAAGCTCAAATGTGCACTAAACATTTTATAGTAAAACTACAGACGGTGGTAACAAAAAACTTAAATCGAAATAAGGCTATTACTTTAATATCTATGGACTGTTCGAAGTGGACTGCCATAACCAGCTCTGTCAGCGGCTTATCAATCTAGATTGTCCTGAACAATTATACTCATCGTTAAAATCGTTTCTAAGCCGTCGTACCTTATCAGTAAAAGTAAACAATGATAAACCAAACACTGTCGATCTCACTTGCGGGTACCCAAGGAGCTGTTTTATCTCCGGTTCTTTTCCTATTATATACTGCGGAAATAGTAGGAACTAAACACCAAAATGCTTCTGCGACAGCATGTGCAGTTGACATAGATGTCCGAAGTAGCAGTATGAACGGCAAAAAAGCTATGCAGCAGGCAGAAACAGCATGTGAACAAATTGCAGAACAGCTAAAAATCCTAAACATATATATTAATCCTGAAAATAATAAAGGAATTATATTTTCATATCAAAAAGGAAAAAAAGAAAATCCATTATTAATTCCAAATTAACAACAAAAGTATTAAATTATCGACTGAATTAACATATTTAGGTATTCACTACGACGGACATTTAAAATTTACTATACATTTTGACAAAAAAATGAAAACAGTAAGATCTAAGATATACAGACTCCAAAACAACAAACCGATCTTTACGACTAAATCTCCTCATCTATACAAGCATAATACGCCCGGCTCTGTTGGATGGTGCATTTCTGTTCGATCATGTCAGAAAAACAAGTGGGAAAAGGCCAAAAGCAAAACAGAATCACGATACAGAGATTGAAAACATTGGATATACAAGCATCACTGAATTTATCAATAGTAAAAGAATTTGTCACTAAACGAAAAAAATCATTTTTCGATAAGTCTCCAAAAATGGGCAAATCCTCTTTTGAACAATTTATTACCAGCCAATATTCTAAAAAGTTGGCAACAACTTACATAAGATAAGTTTTTAAATTTGGTAGTACGCCTGAAGAGAGCCCCATCACCGATTATATTTCAGGTGTAGGAAAAATACTCAACTACGACAAAAAAAGAGCAAAATACACTTTATAATGCTTTATAGCAGTAAAATAATTATTAAGAAGACAAAAAATCCAAGGATTCGTGACGGAGATAAATAAAAAAGAGGCTATGAAAAAAAGTATATATTTTATGGTAAGTTGTATATATAATCTTTTGAAAGGCAATTAAATTCCCGTCAAACCAAATTATAAAATACCGTTCGAATCACCGTTCGGTTTTATTTTTCCACTCTTTCAATTCAAATACAAATACACAATCAAGCAAAAAAATATTTTACAAATGATCCATTGCATGGAAGAGTGATGTGTCATATTCATAATATGTTGCGGCCAACATTCTGAATAATAAATTAAATTATTGTAACAATTAAATTATCTGAGTTTAAACAAATTTATAACCGTAGCTCTGCTTTGGAATAACACAAATGCATGCATTTGGTTTGTTGTCATTGCTAATATTCACAAGCACTAACACGCGCAGATTAATTTGCTAGATTTGGACCGAAGGAACCTGTAAACGTTTATTTCCATTATAAACTCGAACTAGAATTTTTCCTTGATCGTAATATTTTCCTTGATATACAGGTTGACCCGTAAGCTTATTAATAATATCATAATTATTGTTGGGGTCAGGGGTATTTCAAAATTAAAATACAAACCTTTCCCCGGTGAGTTTCCTCAAATGTGGGGTAAATACGGGCAAAATTAAACTATGAAAAAGAAGGGAAAACGTTAGTAAGAATTAGATCTGTAAAACAAGGTTAAAACGCATGCACATCAAAATTTGAAAAAAAATCAAAATATTCATTAAATCAATAAGGAAAAATAAATAATTCCCCTTTTCGAATGTTTACAATATTTATTATGGTGAAAAAAGATATATAAAGATGTTGGAAACAAAATAAAATGAAAGAAGAGTATTAAAATGTACTGAAATAAAACCAAACATAAATAAAATATTCATTGAAAATAAAAAATTGTCTATTAAAAAAATAACATAAATGAAAGAATAAAATTATATAATTAAAATCAATAATAAGGAAAGGATAAATTTAGCGAAAGAAGAAAAATTAAACTAATTTCGAATGTCGTTTGGAGACAGTGAGAATATAAAACGATCTAAGTTGGAGGCTCCACTTCCAAACAGGTTACCTTGATACGATTTCAAGCAGTCGATGGTGGGGAGTATCGACGACTGCCGATGAGCCAAACAGCTATTATTAGGAAATAGCGCTAGGCTGGCGTCAGGTGAGGTGAGACAGAAGCGGCTGGCGGAGTGGGGTAGGGGGTCTGATGACCAAATACATAGACACTGCGTCTATGAAAGCTCGCTCCTGACTAACTTCCCGGCAGTCTTATCACAATATTTTGGCGTCTTGATGCCCAAGACTGAGTATTACTGCCTCTATTACTGGTGCGTATACATAAGCAATAAACATCGCGAATAATACCCAATATACAAATTATATACATTTCTGGGACAATTGTCCCTTGGCCTTTTACAAAAAAAATAAACACACACTTTCTTCATTTACATTTAAAAAGAGATAAAACGTTGAGGAAAAAAAATAAATGAAATAAATAAGAAAGGAAAATAAAATCCGTAGATTCAGGCGTTAACAATTATTACTATCATAGATGTAACTATATAAATTATGGTCTGATTTTGCGTAGAAAACTAGGTATTTTGTGCTGTAAAAAGAAGTTTTGTGTTGTATTAACTATGTTATTATTTATCATTATGTTTGGTGAAAACGTCGGTACTCTAGCGATATACTATCACATAACTTTTTACTCTAGAAATGAATCTCGAAATATTATGTATCAAATTTTAACTATGGACATTAAGCTTATTAAATTATTATATTGTTAATTAATTATTAAATTAAAAAAACATTTCCGATAAAAAAAAAATTATCTTTCATACGCACAACTTAAACTTAAGCACTTAAACCTGTTGTGAAACCGGTGATATTGTACTGTGCAGAAACCGTATAGGTCAAAAATTTGGAGGGGCTGTTAAAAACGGAAAGGAAAATTCTACGGAACATAAATGACCCTAAAAAAAAAATTGAAGGGGAGTACAGAATGAGGGATAATAGCGAATTATATAAAATAGTATTGGGTATGAGGACACTGATGTGAAAAGGAAGAATGAGATTTCACGGACGTACGGTCAGGATGGGCAAAAACAGATTGAGTAAGAAATTTTTTAATTTAGTACTAGGACTTGAATATAACAAGCGAGCTCTGGATGGACAGAATCAAATTCTGGAAACGTAGTGATTAAATGAGGGAAGGTCCTTGCAGCGGAAAGGAAGTGGTCGGAGGAGAGGAAGACACAGCACTCCGCGAGAATGAAGGAAGCGAGGAAGAGGAGGAAAGAAGCGATAAGAAAGAAAAATACTTAGTCACATTTCGCGATAACAGAGTTAGCTTGGATTTAGAATAATGTGATTTTATGGAAAACTGAACTTCGCTTAGTTTAGTCGCTTAAAACTCCTCTTTGAATAATTTTGACAAAGAAAAACACTATTTTGAAAAACATTTTTTTTCTATCCTTTTCATACAAGTATGTTACATACCTGTAGGCCTCCCCTTATTAAGGGACTATGATGGTCTAACTTAAGCGGAGACCAGCCGTTGGGGGAAGTAGTGCCTAGAAGCAATCAGGAAACTATGAAGAAATTGTTGACTACCTAAATTAAATAGTATTGTCTTATCACTTCTTATGAAAAATAAAATGTGACTTACATAATACCATCCAAAATTTAAATTTTCATCTTTTCTGCGCTAAATCAAACCATAGTTGATATAATTTTTATTCGTAGCTCTTAAGGTACATTCACTGTTATATATGAGTAGTTGAGTGAATGCAGGATATCTTTTTATCGGTTTAATTATATATTGATTGCCTGAAATTGTTTCTACTTTAGTAACTTTTCTTAGTTTTAAGTTATTTTTATTTTATTTATTGTACATACTTTTTGATTATTATTTATTGTTAATTTGCTTCTATTTATTTTATATTTTTTGTACATATAGTGAGAATGTTACCCTGCCTCACTATAACTAATGTCCCACAGACAGATTGTTGTTATACCCAATAAATAAATTAAAAAAAATTGTTGGTAACTACGTTAAATTAAGATTTAAAACAATTTGTTAAAGTTTTGCAACTAGCCAGTAACCATTTACATGAATGGGAGTTGGGCACTAAGGACTGGTAAAACTATAGGTTTCAGCTGTTGCATTAATCATTGACTAGGGTCCAGGGCAGAGGCGATTGCGGTTCTATGGTCCTCAGCCGAAGGAGCGGGGTTTAAACAGCTGTTCAGGAAATTAATTATTATGAACCAGTACTTGTTTATACAAAACATCAAGGGATCAGTGAACTGTTTTCATGTAACCTTTGCGCAAGTGTATTATTTTCCTAGGCTAGGCTAATAATGTAAAAAATAAATCAGTGAATCAGTAAGGTGTCATGTCATGGAATGACGTAATCTTCGATTCCTTTTCTTTCCTGTTCTCATGATGCCCAAATTAGCGAAACGGTATAGAGTATCATACCCCCCCATTGCATGGTTATTGTTTTGGTTTTATGTAATTATATTAATATTTTTCAATGTTTAACTTTCCCAATTAAATCGAAAACCAGAGCAGGGAATTGGTACAGTAAAACATGACATAATGGAAAGTGATATGAAATACTTTCCAAACAATGGCACAAAGATATTAAACGTATAATCGCAACAAGTAGACACGAAAAAAAAATCTATAAAAAAACCACATAATATTCAAGAAATCCTTTTTAGCCAACCTACTGTAGTGTTGT